GACTAATATAGCAAAATACTAATAATATCCCAATACTACATTATTTAACAAATTTTCAAATTATTTGTTCTAATTTTAACAAATTTATATGATTACAAAAACTTATCTAAAGTTTGCATTGTCTAAAGCTAGTTTGCATTTTTCTGTATAATATTATACTTACACAGATGTGCTATGATCTGCCAGTTATATTAATATAACTGCTATTACAAGTATCTTAATTTAATTATTAAAAACAGTTACTATAATATAAGTATTACATAAGTGCTTATTTAAATTTTTACTATTAATAAGATTTAAACATCTAATTTACTACTTGGAAAGTTAACAACTTATCTATTTTATTAAGTTGCTACACCTTAGAATAATAATTTTATTAATAACACTTTTGCAATTTACTTACAAAAATTTAGATTTAGAGGATGGTGATTTTAGTGTAGTGGTTGGGTTGTCATCCTCCAAGTAGCAGGTCTAAGGTTCAAATCCCACCTATGATGAAATTTGGAAATTATATCTGCGTTATAATAACTGTCTTCTGTCGATCAGTTGGCTTCATGTGGCTGTTACCCAGGTATACCAGACTGGGTCCCTTAGCTTTGGGAGCTCAAGGCATCTATGTGAAGTGTAACATTACACGTATATAGAGAAATGTTAACTGGTGTTGCATAAGACTTCAGTGCAAACCCATGATAAGACCACTGGGTGTAGAAGACTAAGGAACCAAGGTGATGGAAACTAGTGTTCCACAGACTTGGACCAAAACCTGGACTTGAACTGAAATTGACTCAGTAGTTCGAGTTCGGGTTTACAATTTTTCAGAACGGACTGATTTGGGTTTGTAATAACAGGTACCTGGTAGAACCTACATAGACTCGCATGTTTAATCACTTGCCTTCAATGAACAATACGATGACAAACAATATGATAATAAACAATACATGGAAAAAATTTTTCTAAGACATTACTTCTAGTCTAGAACTTACTTTTACATTACACAATTCAAAAAAAAAAAAAACAGCTCTAATTTTTCAAACCAGTTTTTGTTAAAACCAAGGCAAGAGTTTATTAAAAAACTATTGAATTGTATCTCTCTTTTTTTTTTGCTATTATGGAAGACTTTGAAGAGAACAATTACAGTATAAGCTATTCTTCTATAGACAATAATGAAATAGACGATTTATCTGTGAATTCTTCTTGTATTAATAATGATACTATGGAAGTAAATAAAACCGGTGAACCATTACAACCATGTACTAGGTCTTTTGTGTAAAAGTATTTTGTAAAGGAAAAAAAAACCTCTTATGCAAGATATACTCTTTGTATCTCTAAAAAAACATTAATAAAATGTATTGATAGATCAACATTAAGTCTTAGAAAACATTTCACCAAACATATAGAAAAGGTACCTGAACTGGATAAAGAAAAGAAGAAGCCGAATGTTTCTGTTATCGACATGCTTCAAAATCAACAAACTGTTAATAATCGTCCTAGTGAACCTTTTGATTTAAACATTTTTAAAGATCTTATCAAATGTTGGATTGTTAAACGCAATCGACTATTCAGCATTGTTGAAGATAATAAACTCAAGGAAATATTTGCATATTTAGAACCTCAGGCAAATGCGCCCTCTGCAGATTCTATAAAAAGATATGTTATGAATGACTTTGAAGAAAAATGTCACAAGCTTATGGTAAAGTTACAGAGAATTCCTGAGAAATTTTCAGTTACAACTGATATATAAACAATGAATACTAATGAAAAATCCTTTATGGCAATTATCCTTCATTACTTGGATACTTCTTGGAAGCTAAAAAGCATTTTCTTAGATTTTATAAATATGGATAGTCCACATTCAGGTAGTAATTATAAAAAGAATCAAATATAATATAATCAAATGTATACTGTATAATCAAACGTAATATAATCAATAGTAATTAATTGTATTTATATAATAAATTTAATCAGTAAATTATTTAATAATTAATTATTAATTAAGTATTTTTTTTATTGACTTTTACAATTCCTATTAGGTCTTAAAATTGTGAATAATATGGAAGAATGCCTTCAGTCGATGGGAATCATACCAAAGCTTATGGCTATTACGCATAATAATGCTGCCTCTAATATTAAATTCATACAAGATCTTTCTAATTTTTTAGAGCAGTTGGGTCTTTATTTTGATTATAGACAACAATCTATAAGATGTTTCACACATATTTTAAATCTTGCTGTTCATAGTTTATTAAGTGTTGCAGGAAATGAACTGAATAAATTATGAGAATTAATTAGAAGCATTCGGGAATCACATTTGTGTCAAAAAAAATTAAAAACTACTTGCTTCATACATAATATAAAAGTAATAAAGCCAATTCTTGATGTTGTTACCTGCTAGAATTCTACACTTGAGATGTGTGAACGAGCTATTACATTAAAGGTTGTATTGAAAACTATAGCTCTTAATGAAGTGAATTTACGTTAGTATGTTCTCGAGGATGATGAATGGGCAAAAATTAAGCTTCTTGTTAAGGTCTTATGATCATTTAAGGATGCAACAACATTTATGTCAGCATCAAAATATCCAACCTTAATGATGACTGTTCCTTTTTATTATACATTAATTGGGGTGCTTGAAAATGCTAAAAGAAAAGTTAATACACCATCTTGGCTTATTTAAGGGTGCGAAGATGCAAAAAAAAAACTTACAAGTTATTGTAGTAAAATGAATATATTACATTTTGCATTAGTAGTATTAGACCCGCAACTTAAGTTTAAATATTTTGAATCACTGGACTTACTATTACAACTTATTACTGATATCAAAAATATCATTAAAAATAAGTATGAAAATGAGTATGCATCTTTTTCTGATCAAAGTATATTGCATGAAACTACAACACGTTCTACAATAATGTCACAGATATATCAGTCAGTATGTATGGATCATCAGAATGAATTAGATACCTACTTAATGATGCCATGCGTAGATTCAAATATTGATGTATTAGAATAGTAGCAGTCAAATGAGATGAATTATTCTGCTCTTTCAAAATTCACAAGAGACTGTCTTTCAATCCCAGGAACAAGCGTTTCTAGTGAACAGGCATTTAGTATTGGTGGTGATATGATCACTAATAAATGAAACCAATTGAATAAAAAAATGGTGCGATCAGCTATATGTCTTAGATCATAGTAGAAAGAACCTCAAGAATAATTGAATTAGAGTGTTTTTTTTTTTTTCTATCAGGTTTTTTTTTTTTTTTTTTTTGATTCTTATACAGTATTTGAGTTTTGATTTACTAGGTTAAAAAAAACCACAAATTATCATGTAATTAAAAGGAATGTGCTTCAATTAGTTTAATTTTTTCTTTTTTTTTCTTGCTATTGTAATAAGATTTCGCAGCTTAGAAATTTCTATTTGCAAATATTAGCATATCAATTCAATAAAAATTAGAACAAATAATTTGAAAATTTGTT